TGACTCCGGTGAGAGGAGCACGGAGTTTCTTGCTGGTCATGAGCACTGAGTGGTAGGCTGCTGTCAGAGACCCCGGGCTCTTTAGGTCAACTACATGTTGTTTACAGCCTTTTGAGATCAAGTTTACGCATGATGAATTTGAGCGCAGCGTTATACGCGTCGACTGGCACTTATGTTGCACTACTCCACTTTCATATTCCAAGTACAAGAACTTTGCCTTGACCACACTAAATTGGGCTTCAGGCTAGCGTACTCGAGAACAACTGAAATGATCCATGAGCAGAAAGTGGGAATAACTCATGTGGCTTTGAAAGTGTTGCAGTCAAACCGAGCAACGCTTCAGGGAATTGCGATAAACCGCATCCACGAGCATCCCTCCGCGCCTGAGGTAACTCAAAAACCACAGCTGGTCACATAGACCATGGTTGCATCTGTAGGCTCTCACACGGAGATGGCTGGATGTAGAACAAGACACCACTTTGGGTAGTCTAGTTTATCACAGCTGAAATATGAGTAGCTCCTAAGCTCGATTTATCGGGCAGTCAGCTCAGAATTCAGCCACATATCTGTGAGCCCCTCAACGTCTGGCAGCTCAGATGCAACGAAACGATAAAGATCGTCGTAATTGTTCATGCGACTGCAAACATTGCTAAAGGCAACACGCAAACCCCAGCAGGAAGTACCTGGTGCGTGATCACTCTTCTTTTCCCCTTCGTGGAATATTGGAAACGAGCAGAAATGTTATGATACGGAGATTTGTTTCCCAATCACCAGTATGCCTTTTAAGCTCAATCATGGCAGGTTGAGCCATTCTCGGTCCATAAGATCCAGGTTTGGAGGACCATGGATCTTCAGTACTTTCAGCCAATTTAGAGGACATAAGATCAGATTCGGATGGGTCTCTTCCACAAAGGTGATTCTCATTGACCAGCTTTGTTGATAACATTTCTTTCCAAAAAACATAATTTGTCTCATTTTCAATGCGAGCCCACCCACATCAAGGCATCTCGCATTTAAGCCTTGTAAAAACGGAAGATCGTGTATGTTACGCATATTGGAAGTTGGATCACTGAACTTGGGTGCATGGAAAGTCGCGAAGTTTAAATGCCACTAGTCAGCCAAAGTTGCGCTTCCAGGGCGTTGTCCCAAACGCCACGTAGTTTGACTAACCGTCGATTTGCAGCGGTGGAACATTTTCCTTTCTTGCCTTTTCTTTCTTTGCATTTTCTACGGGTCTTTAGTACACAGGCTTTTATCCATAAGACACAACACAGGCAAACGAGTCTTGTCAAATGAAGCTGGGGTGATCGCAACAGCGTAATTTCGTGCAGGTGAGTTGACAGGGGAAGAGCAGGAAGGCGTATCTGACACCTGGAGACGCTTCTGGCTAGCTTCCTTGGCCAAACTCGCGGAGCTGCTTGCAACGGAATGATTCAGTCTACGCGGCAGCTTGTGATTCTGTTGTCCTTTATCCGGCAGTATCTCCTTTCGGCCATTCTCAAACAAAATTTAGACGAACCTTTTGTATTCCATGTGGAAGTCGAAAATTCACGATCGATAGCCCAATGCATGAAATGCGGAAATTCACATCACATCTGACATGTGTGCGTGCTTTTTCTCAAAGTACGATAAACTTGAAACAGGCACCACAACACGATAGTTTCAGTAATATGAATAATTTAAGACAAACGTGGCGACCTGTTCCAGAGTCAAAGTGATAACAAGAACTCAGAAATTAACTGGAGACAACAGTGTTTAACAGTGGGTTTTGTACCAGAGATATTATACTGATTTTAGGATAGTTTTGAGTCATTAATTTCGAACTTGGCCTCGGTTTTCCGAGATTCACACCACTTTTTGTGTTAAGGTTCTCTCCCAGAAAAATGGTATAATAGAAAAGATGGGAATGTTTAGTTCAAGAAGCACATGAAGTTTGTTTCTTGTGCGACAAATACAGAGGTAGTAAATACCGAATGGTCCTGTATACACGATAACTGAATAAGTAATTTACTCAGCTGATGTATCTAAGTAACAGTTAATTCTTGAAAAATAACGCTGTTGGTACGATCTCCTGCTAAAGGGTTCATCTAGAAATCACCTAGGATTCTCCAGCCGTAGTCCGCCATCATGTATCTGTCCCACCAGCGTTGATACCTCAATTCCATTAGCTTAATGTACGGATGCAACCTCTCACCTTGTGTTTCGCTGAAGTCACCATGATTATCCCGGCAACTGTGTAAGGGTATATGAGGAAAATGGAGCTTTGTGCTCTTGTCGCGACTCAGTGTGTCAAAGTTTGAAAACATATTTTCCACTAATTCTTTATTGTTTGTTGCTTTATGATTACCCAGAAAGGTCCTGACAACAGAGACAAAACCACCCCAAGCAATACTACAACGCTGCTCCATCAGCAATAAGTTGCTGAATGTGAGGAACATCGAAGATGTCAGCTTTCAGTTTTCTCCACACTCAATTCAAGGAAGAGACTACAAATGGACTTGAAACCAGCACCATATTTGTCCAGTGTTTTAACAAATTGTTGCAGTAGCGCCAACTTTATATGGAATGCTGGGAAAATGATATTTTCTTTGTCAACCTAAGGATTCTTGATGATGTTCTCTCCGTCTTAATCCATGTATTCACTAGTAGATCAAGGCCGTTTCTTCCAACAATGAATCACAGATACTTTTCTTATCCATTTGGCTGTGAATTTGAAAAATCACCATCTACAACTGCGCGTAAATAAACCAATATCGATTGTATTGACTGAAACTTTTCGCATTGAGAGAACAGAAATAACAATCGTCGTGATGGCTTGTCGGTTCATTCTACACCACAGGCAGACTAGAACTCAAACCTATTCTTTGCACCAGTTTTCCATTTTTGGGGGCAGTCTACACAGGTTTTGCAAAACTTATGAGCAGCCCAGGAGCATTTTGACCTCCGTGTTTTACAACAAAGTAAGTGCGAAATGCCTGACTCACAAGGGGTTGACATTGTTCCTTGGTTTTTCCACAATGTATTCATCCCAATGGTACCAGAATACTTAGGGGTCGTTCAAACAGCTACGTCGAGAAGATTTTGGGCCCGCGAAACAATTAACGAAAACTTTAAACCATCAGTTATTAATATTATGAATTCAGTATTATATTTCAAAAACTAAAATAAAGTGGCGAAAACTGCTATCATATCCTAACTCAACACCACAAAAACTATAAATTGGTTGAAATATCCTCGACGGCAGGAAAAGGTTTTGTACCAATAGTCGAAAAATTCGGCACCAGAAATCAAATTGGATGGTATTATAAAATTCACGAAATAATACCAATGCACTGAGAAATCCAAGGAGAATGAACTTTCTTAACACAGTCAAGAACCAATCAACCGCAGGCAGCTAACCAGAAGGGAACCAGATCAAGGTCTAACAAGGGGAGAGGTATGAGGACATGAGCGAATCTAGGCGGCAGCGTGACACCCCGGCAAAGTCAAAGTGCCAAATCGAGCAGCTAACTCAAATAAACTTAGTCAACCCTCGGATAAGGCGATTGAATAATTCATTCCGTTACATAATAACACTGTAGATCTGGGAGATTTCGCACTGCACGTTCCAAGCAGATGGGAGAAACCTCCAGGCACCCCTTGTATTATTTACCATAATTTCACAAGGCCTTTTGTGTTGTGCAGCAGTTTGTGTTCGGCACTACTTTTCACAAGTGCATTGAGGAATCGAGTTACGGCCACCCTGGAATGAAAGCAAGTTTCAGCGGTTGTCAGTACAGCCGCAAGTTAAGCGTTGGCTTTTTATCAGTTTGGCTGGCCCGCATTATAGTTGAGGCTTGGTTACTGTAAGTTTTCGTGTTGACTTCGTCACGCATGGTCTGTGAGTTTCGCATCCACGTGAAGCATGGTAATATTTTATCCTACGCAATGGCATAGTAACATGAGCAGATCTTTTATAAAGGTAACTTTGAGGCCAACTTATTATACATCCTTAAATATGAAGACCAAACTTTCTGAAACATAATAACTGAAGCGATTAAAGCTGGTGCCCACCTGCACCGGGGTAGCATACTTTATGTTAAATGGTTAGCACAAATGCAGGACAACTGAGTGAATTTGCAGCTTCAATATAGTAACCTACTCGGTGAGTGCAGACTTTCATATGGCAGATGGGAAAAATGTCACTAGGTCTAAACAAATGTTTTTAGTCATTCCAGTGTCTGTAGTCATAAACAGGAAACTTATTGGCATAATCATGAAGGCCGTGAAAGTTTCTCAGAGCAAACAACTAAAATTGGGCTAAGCAACCCACGATAATGAAAGCTTCGGTAGTATACTCCCTATTCCAATCGATTTAACAGCAGAAAAGCTACTTCAATGCAGTAGATCCATTTCTGCTTTACATTTGTTTAGTTAGGAATAGCTACTATTAGGTACCTCACAAACCGCTGCTTATCTGGTAGACTCCGATTGTCTACGACCCTGTTTGTATCAAAAATAGGAGCACGAATATGACTTCAAGCCCACTGCACTAACACTAGACGCAATTTCTACTGGAAATTTTCCCTTATTGATGAGGTCGGAGTCGTCCGGAAAGCTGTGCTTCTGAGGGAGGGGTGATTCACGACAACGAACTTTCGGCATAAGACATACTTGTCTTTTATCTCTATTAATTGTACCAATCTCCTAAGTGCATAACATGTTTAACTCAAATTTTACACAAGGACTTTTGCCTGAGTTGGTGTGTCTCTATGAAAGTGAGAATAAACTATTTATTTATTTATTTAACCTCTAAACGCCTTATACTATCCCCTTTTTACAAGTAGCCCATCAGAACGCAACATATTCGTCGCATTTGTAGACCAAACTTTGTGATACACACCTACGGGATTCCCTTACACCTAAAGAGGCTTCGTTTTTATAGAGAAAACAAAGGTTCGCAGTGAAACATACTCTTCTCACCATGGTTTAGCCTGTTTTGCTTTTCTCAATGTTTGCAGGGTTGTCGTGATCGCCTCATTAAGCTGGCAACTCAAATCCAGAATGTTTGGGCAAACCAAGAAGTGAAACTACGTGTCATGCGTGCTTGGATCAAACCGCCGCCAAATTACAAACCTCGACCACATGCTGAAGTCCCTACGCAGCATAATACACACAGCGATTGGAAAAACGGGGACCGGGACGGAACGCTTTTATATGAGGGGAGTTCGGATCAAATCGGTTCGTCCCAGCTTCACAGGAAAGAAAAATTAGTAACTGAAAGGGATAAAACCAGAGAAGAGGAAACGCCAACAAAACACAAGAAACAGCAAAAGTATGCTTTGACTAAGACCAGTATTCATAACAACAACCAAATTCTGAACTTGATGCCAGAAATGATAGTCGATGAGGAACCCCAGACGATGTTGCATCGTAACATGTTTGATAACAAACTTCTTGATCAGTCAGCCCCAGCATACTCGGCTTTGAACTACGGTTCAAGACCATTCGCTGAGCTTCGATGGGCTCCATGGCGGACCTCGAAAAGTAAACCGGGTTCGCACCCATCCCATGTGTTCAACACACCGTCTCGTCGACGGCTAGCAAAGATAGATGACTTCAGCAGAGGCTCGGCCTTCTCATCCAATCAAATGTCTCGATTTCCACGGGATTTTCCACCAAGTAATTTGACCGTCGCTATCAGCCCAGCCGATAGTCGAGGACGCACCCGCAGACTGTTCAGCAGATCGATTGTGGGGGCGCAGTTCCAATCAACCGGGCGGTCGAACCAACAAGTTAACACCATGACACAAGCACGTTATGAGCAGTGGCTTAATATGCGAATGGAAGAGTTCCACTATGCTGGCAGGGCAGTGGATATTCAGCTTGCATTCCAACCCTACAGTAATCAGAGGGATATTGATGTCAAGATTGGTCTACTTGCTCAGATGGCATTCTATGTCGCGCAGTTTGACTGGTGCTATTTCAGTCGTTCCCGCCACGTACATTGTTCAGTAAAGCCAGGTAAGTTTATCTAACAGAGTGTATTTATCATCTTTGATCCATATCTACCTTTTGGTGCTTCTAAACGTATATAAATTAAATTAGTAAAAAGATCTCTCTTGCAGAGCAACACCAGTGTACTCTCTAGGAGTGCAGTAACTTACGCACTGAAACTAGTGTGTCCACTACACAAAGTCAGCGGACAGGGGGTGGATGGGGCTACTCGGTTAAGCGTCACTGCATCCGCAGCTCGTAAAGACCACATAGAAATCGGGTGTTGCCCACACGAAAACAATGCAACACCCATTTTCTATCTGTCTCAGCCATGGTCCTAGCAATCAAATAACCAGTGTTCACTTCAATGGAAACATTGTCTACAAGAAGATTGCGTATCGCAATCCAAGCTGTTATAACGCGCGTTGGCAATCAGCTTTCTCGCCCACCTGTCACAATCACACAACGTGTTGTACAAAATGAACATCCAGTCACTCGTACAGACTAATGGTTTCTATCGCTTACTAAGTAGCGAAGTGATTGTTGTATCGAAAAGGTAGCAGAAGGAAGCAGTGTGTGTATTCGTACTCAATCAAGGGTAACAGACCGGACATTCAGAATAATCAATTTTAACTGTTTGGATTTACACTGAGAAAAGAGTTGCTGTGTTTCAGCCAGCCAGTGAAACATGTAGTGAAATGGTGATGCATCGGGCACAACAGTGATCTAATAGCATTACTTAATTTACTCATTTTTGTTGTTCATCCATACATTAAGATAAATACTCAACTACCCCAAATCATTTCACGCTCTCGCAGTGGTAGAGAATAGAAGTGGTGATTATCAGTACTCTCAGTGGACGAAAGTGGCGCAACCTGCTATAAGTAAAGGGAGCATACAGTCACGTTAGGACGTACTGCGAATACAAAAGAGAATATTTTATATGCGTCTAGGTGGAGGATACGGTTGACAACTGAGTTCCATCATCCAGAAGCGGTGGGTAGAGTCACCATAGTTTACGTGTAGATCTCATTTTCGCCCCGTGCTTGCTATGCCCGAAAGGAAAATCATTTCAGACGGTGATCTAAGTAAATGTGCTTTGGCTGGTGGATGTACACATTGAGAGTCCGTTGAACACGAGCGCCGTTGGACGCTGTAGGAAGAGAATTAAGATTTCCACCAATCCCTTCCCTGTTGGGCTGAACTGCGGTGGACGAAAGCTCGTATCACTCTAGACTAGGCCTAGTATTACACCAGATGTGCTTTGCAAGAGGATGGAATCGATTAGGTTAACGCGAAGAAATGAAGTTTGTACATTTGCCGTTCTGCACATAATGTCAGAAGCTATTAAAATAGGACAACTTCAATGATCAAATGGAAAAACGGCTTTAGTACACCCCTTTTTACAAACCACGCTGATCATCGTTTAGCAATATACACGAAAGACAAGCAAGCACTGTTTTACTTTGACAATAGGTTCAGCCGAAAGATAGCGCACATTAAATGCTGACTGATCTATAGAGTAGAATCAAATTTCGGTTCGGTGAAGCGACAGTCGACCTATCATAGGGGATTTGAAGATCAACCAGCCTCCTTCCAGGCTTCCGCCTGCTCACTGCACTCTAGTTCACAGGTGTCGCATCTGTTTTGGTGGTTAACTTGCTCGATACGTACACGAATATGGATTCAAACTCTAGATAAGTACCCATTCTATCTATTAGAGGATTTCCCCCCGAGTATATTGTTTCTTGATTCAGCAAATATCATAGATGCGCAAGATGAGGCTGTATATATGACAACAACTTCTGTACATCATTTTAACCTTTTAACGTTTTGAAGCAAAAGATCCATTTGCGCAGCAAATGCACTCTTACTTTTGATCATGAATAATAACTTTGAAGTGACCTAATACCAGTTTAGTAACCTTTAGATAACAGGATAGAACAGCGTGTGAAAACACCGTTGTTAACGGATCTCTCGGCAACAGCTCAATCGTAAATGAAATCTCTGTAAATGTGAGCAGCAACAAACGTGCATATATTTGGGGTAATAGGGATATGTTGTACCGTTTAATCATGCATTCCCCTTTATGATGTTGCCAAACATGTCATGTAGACCTGAACTAGTGGAGTCTGTGGCAACTTAAACGAGTGTTAGTAGGTACACTTTTTCCTGGAGAAGTATCTAAGGACGTGGACTTTTCAATGGCATTAGAAATCTGAATTTTCTGCAAGAAGACTGGTCTCGGTTTGGTCTTAACTACTGATCACAGCACAATAATAGAAGTAGTTACTGAACACATCATTAAATATATTATACTTATAGGGTAGTAAAAATGGATAACTGGATTCCGAGCGTAATGGTCAGAAATTATTGCTTACGGTGTCACAGCACTCTATATTCTGTGTTAGAAGAGTTTCTCTGTGACACACCTCAAGCGCACACAAATCTATGCTCAAGGAATGGTACAATTGACCTCTACTCGGTTTGCAATTAGCTACTCTGGTAATCGGCCTACAAAAGAGCTAACAAAGAATACTTGTAAAAACCCATTTAAAACGCAGATATCCTGGGCAAACAACAACGTCTTGATGGCATCTTCTTTGCAAGGGTTTATCCCTCCATGATTAATGGATCACCATGGCTTTATCTCTTTGATTGAGCCCATATCAAGGATAATACAATATTTTCAAAGCATGCTTTTTAGGAAGATCGCAGACATCAGCTGCATACCCATTTTGGAAAAATGGAATGACTAATCGCAGTATAGCTTTTGTCTCCTCGAAATTTAATAGCGTCCCATGCCATCCTACTGCTTTACAAGGGACAACACTGCCCAAAGTGTAACCCTCGCCTGCATTCCACGTACTGCTTCTCTGACAAAAACGAAACTGTGTCATGTGGATGCTCTCGAGTGTCAGCATTTTATCCTGCAGGAGATGGGACGTTACGAAAAACACTTTTTTACTTTGTAGTTTACTTCGCTTTCGTGCAAATTCAGGTTTAGTTGCCCCAGATGTCATAGGCTATGAAGAGCGGGGACTCGAATCCGAGGAGTAAAGACTGCGTGTGAAATACCTGAACCCCTATACCACTGATCTCATGTCAGACATTTTTGTAGCAGTCTTGTCACTTAGGTCTACGAGCATCAAACTAATCATCTGTCTGCTCAATCAGCCTACACGAATACGAAACGGGTCGGCGAGTGGGGTTTCAAGTAGCAACCCCGAAGACTCCAATTAGACTGCGGTCCATCTGATCTTTAATGGCTGAGGTCTACTCCAAAGCAAACCGAGATCTCAATGGATATTGCGTGTCACACGCAAAACACTGCAGTTGCTTCAAAACTCAACAAATGATAAAACGTGGAGCACTTTCGCTAATTCATAGAGAACATCAGTCTGAGGCAACCAATGGTTTTCAATGATTCTACGACGGCCCGTTGCGTTGCTTATTTATTGAGCTACTGTATATCATAGGAGTAGTTAACTATTCATCCGAAAGTACGCGCGCCCATTCGAAGGCCTTAACGGCACATGTGGTTCGAGCAGGACCAGCCATGTTTTCACCTAGGCGTCGGTAATCCCCCACATATTCTTATGGACGATTTCTGTTAGTATAGTAAACTCTGTGTTACTAAGCCGGGGGAATTGGTTCAATGGGTGCAATTCCAGCCATGTGCATTCCTAGCTGGCTGGGGTGGTCCATGGAGCAGTGATTGGTGACAGGCATAAAGGCGAATGTTTGACATGTCCTGTAGGATGAATAGCGTGCAAATTAAAAGACATCAAGACAGTGTAGGTAGAAAGAGCGCGTGAGGCTCACGACTCCGTAAGGAATCTGGAGTAGCACATGCATGATTATTCCTGCCTGGAGTTTAGGAGGGTTTTGGCACTATCCACTGTTTTTGTGCACAAATCATGATCATCATCATCATCAACAACAGCAGTACATCAACCATTTGACCTGATGCTTCGCTGCCATACAACTATGATGACCTATGAAATAAAGAATAATAAAAGAGGTCTCCTGAAAACCTTAATGCCCTAAGCAAACATCCAGGGCCAAAGCGCCTACACCTCGCGTAGACAACATACCGTCACAAACAGCTGGCTATCGTGTAAAGATAAGGCGTGCACAAATGCCTTCATTTGACTGCCATGGGCTATATCACGAAGTGTAAATGTGTCAGAGTATCGTTAAGGTGTTTTTCGGAAAGAGATAAGGTGTGGACATTTATTAGAATCACCAGTAAAGCGTTCCATGGTTGTGACACTGGTAGGGAAAAAATTTGCGTCAGCATCCCAGTCGACCGTACTGCTTGGTCGACTTAAACTGATGGCCCATTAGATGTGCTTTGACGGTTTGGCGAAATCAGTGCTGCTCCGGAACGAGACTTTGCTATCCTTTAGGTACCCGTGAGCACCTCAGCTACAATTGACTCCATGAACTTAGAGATCACCGGCTACTGCTTTTGTAGAGTGAAGTGATCATCCCGTGCTTCCACATCTTGGGGACATGCATCTCATTAAGACACCGCTGAAAGATTATTGCTAACGCTTCATCTGAATTCCTGGCAGCAACTTTCAACGCCTTCGGGCGAATATCGTCCGCACCCCGGGGAGCTGTACTCGCGCGGGGACATCGGCTGTTTTAATACGACTGTGGATGTAAGAGATATGGGGTTAAGGCCTGATGGCGATAAGATATACATAGACAGGATGTGAGATTATTGCACACTTTGGAATGCACGACCAGGTTGTCGTCCAAGAACGTTAGTCGCATCTTTTACCGTTTGTGCTAACCCGCCGTGGCTAAACCGGCGAAGTTTGTTTATGAGTCTGTACAGGGACTTAGGGTTAGAGCAACATTGTATCACCAGGTCTCCTCGGTTCTCTACTTTAGCCTCCAGGACGAATTTGAAACAGTGATCCCTATGCGATGTATCGACATCCAAGTACTCCTCGCTCAGAGAGGCTATGTGGGCGAACCATTCCAAGTCTATCAATGTCATGCATCACCGACTC